GTAGTCCCAGCTACTCAGGAGGTTGAGGCAGGAGAATCGCTTGAACCTGGGAGGTGGAGGTTGCAATAAGCTGAGATCACACCACTGCAATCCAGCCTGGGTGACAGAGTGAGACTCCTTCTTGAAAAAAAAAATGTCTTTTATCCAAAAGACAGGCAACAACAAATGCTGGTGAGGATGTGGAGGAAAAGAAACCCTTGTACATCATTGGTGGGAATGTAAATTAGTACAGCCACTGTGGACAATAGTTTGGAGATTCCCCCAAAAACTAAAAATAGAGCTATCATATAATCCAGCAATCCCACTGCTAGATATATAGCCAAATTAAAGACAATCAGTATATCGAAGAGATATTTACACTCCCTTATCTATTGCAGCGTTGCTCCCAATAGCCAAGATTTGGAATCAACCTAACTGTCCATCAACAAATGAGTGTATAAAGACAGTGTGGTACATATACACACTGGAATACTATTCAGCCATAAAAAGAATGATATCTTGTCATTTGCAACAACATGGATAGAACTGGAGGACATTATATTAAGTGAAATAAGATAGGCACAGAAAGATAAATTGTGCATGTTCTCACTCATTAGTGGGAGCTAAAAATTAAAACAATTGAACTCATGGAGATAAGACAATAGAAAGATGGTTACCAAAGACTGGGAAGGGTAGTAGGGGGAAAGGAAGGAATGGAGACGGTTAATGGGTACAAAAATATAGTTAGATAAAATGAATACGATCTAGTATTTGATAGCACAGCAGGGTGGCAGGCACCTGTAGTCCCAGCTACTTAGGAGGCTGAGGCAGGAGAATTGCTTGAGCCTGGGAGACAGAGGTTGCAGTGAGCCAAGATTGTGCAACTGTACTCCAGTCTGGACAACAGAGCAAGACTCCATCTCAAAAGAAAAATAATAATTAAAAAATTAAAAAATAAAGCAAAAAAGAAAAATCTCAGTGTATGATAATAAAGGGATCTGGCTGGGTATGATGGCTCGCACCTGTAATCCCAGCACTGTGGGAGGCTGAGGCAGGCAGGTCACCTGAGGTCAGGAGTTTGAGACCAGCCTGACCAACATGGTAAAACCCCATCTCTACTAAAAGTACAAAAATTAGCTGGGTGTGGTGGCACGTGCCTGTAATCCCGGCTACTCAGGAGGCTGTGGCAGGAGAATCACTTAAACCTGGGAGGCTGAAGTTGCAGTGAGCCAAGATCGAGCCACTGTACTCCAGTCTGGGTGACAGAATGAGACTCCATCTCAAAAAAAAAAAAGAAAAAGAAAAAAAGAAATAACTCATGAACACATCTAGTATTTGATAGCACAGCAATAAACAACAATTTATTGTACATTTTAAAATAATTAAAAGAGTATAATTGGATTGTTAATAACAAAATGAAATGATAAATGCCTAAGGTGATGGAGACCCCATTTACCCTGATGCAGTTACACATTGCTTGCCTGTATCAGAATCTCTCATGTGCCTCTTAAATATGTACACCTACTATGTACCCATACAAACTAAAAAGAAAAAATTTAAAAATTAAAGAAGTGTGAACCAATACAAGCATACACACTCACAGAAAACAATACAAATGCCTCTCATGGAAAAAAAAGACAAATTACACCAATAATTTTAAAATGCAAAAAGAGGAGACATGGTTTGTCACTTGACCTGAAAAATAGCCCGTGTTGGCAATGTTCTGGGAAATAAGTATGCTCATAAATGACCAATGGAAAGTAAATTGGCGCAGCTTTTCTGGAAGGCAATTCGTCACTTGTATCAAAAACGTATTGGCTTACACTTTGAATGTGCAATTCCACTTCTAGAAATTAAAGAATGTGTGCCCAGAGTTACCAATAAAATGTTCATTACGATGTTGCATAAAATCACAAAATGATTGGAAATGGCAAAGACGTACAACAACAAGGCAGAGATCAAATCAATTCTAGTGCATACATATATTGGAATGCTATGTCGTTATTCAAATGATACAGCAGATGTAAGATTATGAGTTGGAAAAGTATTCATGACTTATTATTGTATTAGTTTTCTATTGTTGTGTAACAAATAACCACTACTTTAGCCGCTTAAAACAACGCCCATTGATGAGTTCACATGCTTCAGGAGGCTGGAAGTCTAGGCATTGGCGTGGCTGGCCTCTCTGTCCAGGGTCTCACAAAGCTGAAATTAAAGTGCTGGCCAGGCTGATATCTCATCGGGAGGTCAGGGCTCTCTTTCATGTGGTTGTGGCAGAAGGTAGTTCCTCGAGGAGATGGGTTGAAGGGCCGTTTCCTTGCTGCCTGACAGCTGGGGGCTGCTCTCAGTTCCTGGAGCCGGCCTGCCTCCGTCATCAATGCTATCCTCTTCGTCTTCAGAGGAGCAGTAGAGGATCTCCCTGACATCAAGTCCCTCTCATCCTTTGAATCTTTCTGACCTGAGGAAATGCTCAGTCCTTTCAAGGAGACAATTATTAAGTGAGGCTTATCCTGCAATAATCTTCCTATTTTAAGATCAACTAATTTGGGGATTCAAGTCTCATCTGCACATTCTCTCCGTGCCAGCCCCTGGATTGATGTGTGATGGAATCGGGAGGAGGTGTGTATATGCACCATTGTTGGGAACTCCAGCGGGCCCTGTTAGAATTTTGCCTACCACAATTATTAAGTAATAAAGAGCAGAATACCAAAAATGTAGAGTGTTTCTTGTAGCAAAAATGACAAACACAGACAAGAACCCACAAGAATACTGTGTCCATACAGCAGAGCTGAAGAAACACTGTAGTGTTTCAACTGCCCGTATTACCTACTGTGTCCATACAGCAGAGCCGAAGAAACACTGTAGCATTTCCACTGCCTGTATTACCTACTGTGTCCATACAGCAGAGCCGAAGAAACACTGTAGCTTTTCCACTGCCTGTATTACCTACTGTGTCCATGCAGCAGAGCCGAAGAAACACTGTAGCATTTCCACTGCCTGTATTACCTACTGTGTCCATACAGCAGAGC